TGCCCTAGTAAAACCACCGACCTGCCAGGATTTGCTAAATTGAAGTTTTGTAGTAATAGGTCTTGCACTTTTAACATAGCAGGGTCAACCTGATCCCTTTATCCAGTGCTCTATACTGCCATGCAAGGAATCTGGAGTCTACTTCCAACCCAGGACCCTCAAGCAGATGTAGGGACCAAGCCAGCTGCAGACCCAGTCATCAGCATGGACACTTCCCAGAGTAAATCCAGTGGCCAGAAGGACAGGAGGCTCCAAGGTTATGGTTATACAGAGCAAGTGGTAAGACTGAAAACATCAGCAGAATAATACAGCAAAATAAGAGTGAACTCCTCTCTGGTCACTACTACACTACTGCACATGGTCTGCTCCTGTTACAAGGCTCAGGCAGATCTGCTCTGGCACTAACCTTGAATACAAGCACAACATTTCCCATGCACAAGTTAATCCGACTTACCTAGGGTAAACATAAGTCCCAATTTGCCCAGGACAGTCCTGGATTTCACCAGCAGTTCTTGGCCAGTTGGTGAATATTAAAACGAGTATGTCCCAGGTGCAGGGCAGTCAAGCAGAGAAGCAGAGGCATGCAATGCACCAGGAAGGTGGGTAGGCAAGCACCACTGCTGCCTGCCTGGCTAGTGAACCATGCCACTCAGCCTCCACCTCTGCCTACAGCAGCATTGCTGACATTGGAGGGGGGTGGGCAGGGGGAAGGGAGAGGCATTGTCTCAAATGTCCCAGATTTCCTTATGGTCACTCTATATTTATCCCCATTTTATAAAGTGGAAAACTGAGGCAGAGAACACTCCCGACTCAGCCTCAGCACCCCAGCATTACTGGCTCTCAGGCATGTACTCACCTCACAGGTCACCACACTCCTTGATTAGCATAAGGCCCATACAACTTGGCTCTGGGCCCAGTGGGACAACAGCCTGGCCCAAACGTTCCTCTTCCATGGCATTTTTGTGGTCTCAGAGTGTTTAGTTCCCATTGGACGACTGAAGGTTGGGTGCATCTAGCTCTCAGGCAAGGTATCCACTGCCAACCCTCTGGAGAAGAGCCTCCGGCAGCACACTCCATGCCCAAACAGATGTTCCACTGATGAGACCAACCCTGTGGTGACCCAGGTTGAGCCAGCTCTTCAGGTACCCTTTTACCTTTTTACTCCTGCATTCAGGTCTTAGGCAACACAATAGCTTCTAAACTCAGGCTTAAAGCAGCAGTGACTGGTGCTGTGGACCATTACTGTAGAACACTAGGGCTTCATTACAGAGGTGGAATCACCTACTCTCCCTCCTATTCCCACTGGGGCAACTTTCACCAACCCCTCCCTAAGTGCCAGCATGTTCAGAGGATGACATGCCCTGCCACTGCTTCCTAGCACTGTAGACATGCAGGATTCCCCCTCACCCCAACAAAAAATCTGATGCTTCTTTTTTCCACCGTGACTACAATGAAAACCCGCTGACTCAGAAAGACATCTGACTGCTTTAATGAGAACAATGGGCTGCTCAGCCAAAGCTGTCACACTGTCAATGCGAGTGCATTTGTAGACGCTGTGTTAGAACAGCGTATTTATAATTGTATGTATGTGTGTACTCGCGCGGGCACCTCTGATACAGCGGGGCTTCACATCTCTGTGCTTTTGCTGCTGCTCTCAGAACAATGCAGCTGACTTTGGAGCAGGCATGGAGCTCAACATGACAGGCACTATGTCAGAATCTAACATGCAGTGGTAGATACCACCCTTGATAAGTTCTTGCCTTAAAACTGAAACCCCCATTTAAAATTACTCTATTTCCAACCAAACTCTTCATGTCATGCTTTACTACCATCCGAGACCCTCAGACAAGGAGACTGTCTTCACAACACCTCTGGGAGATGGGGAAACATCACATGATTTTACAAATGCAAAAACCAATTCATACAACAATTAAGTGACTTGTCTTGGATCTCACAGGAAGGCTGTAGCAGAACTGGAAATTGAACAATCTCCCCTCTTCTGAGAACTCTAATACACAGGCCATCCTCACTATCTTCCCAATAATTAGTTTGCAGGGGAAGATTTTCAAAGGTGCAACCAACAGTCAGGAACTTAACAGTCCTGTGCACCTTGAAAAATCTCCCTCTGATAGGCCAAAACCTTTTGTCAGCAGTACAGCAGGATAAAGAGTGTTTGGGAAGACAAGAATAGCATTTTAATTTCCAGGGGACTAGATAATCCTTATTGTTGCTAATGTCTCAACCCCAGGATATAAAGGCTACTACCACAAAAGAAACAGATTTCTCTCTTAACTGGCCACTCAGGCCATCAGAGGGGACACTCTTCCAGCCCTGTGAAAGTTTTCCCAATCTCAAGTTTTCCCATTCTACCTCAGGACAAGACCATTCCCACCCCCCGCCAAAAAAAAAAAAAAAAATAGGCAAACACAGTGAAATGACACTCATCCCCAAGATGGCCCCTATTGTTGTAGTCAGGCAGCAGCATCAGGATGGGGGAGTCCAATATACAAGGCACTTGTCTCAATCAGGTGGAAGAGGGATTGGAACCTTTATCCTCCACCAGCCAGGTGACTACTTTGGCCACCAGGCTACCGGGTCACTCTCTCTTGCCCATCTGAACCAAAAATGCCTTCCTGGCTCTGAGAAACCTTTCCTAGAAGTGTCCTCACACCCCAGATCATTCACCCAAAATGTGTTGGTGTGGCCAAATCAGCATTTTTCCAACCAGTAATAAAAAGTTTGACCAAAAAGTTTCTGGCTGGCTCCAACTACAGTGTCATCATCATCCAAACGACATGCCAAGAGGCAGCATCACTTGGACCTCCACCAGGGCCAAGCATGCCATCCATTCACCCCGACAAGCCTAACAGCATACACAGCCTGCAGAGGAGCCACGCCAGACTAGCTTCCCGAGATGTGTGCGCTCCCAGCACACTCCTAATGATCAGAAGCAGAGCTTCGCTATTTATAGGAATGTCTGATTTAATGCCTCCATTACCACCTGAAGTTGCTGTTAAAGCAATAAACACAACACATTGATTGTAAATAGAAGAGACATAAATACTTCGCAACCATTGACGACTCCAGTGGCAAGGGGACACAGGGGAAGCGCGTGCTAGGCACAAAGATAAGTGGCCTAGTTGAGGGGGAGATAAGGGAGGAGGTGTTTGTAATGCTGCATGCAGCCTTGCCCATGGGGACTAGAATCAGAGCCAGGCCACGCACAAGATCCTTTGATACCCAGCATGTGGCAGTCCCGTGTGTGTGGGTGTGAGTGCACGTGAGTGTGTGTATGGAAGGGGGAGAGGGAGGAGGGGCTCTGGGCATAGGAATGTCAGTTGTAGATCTGGCATACGCCCTGACAATCAATAGCTGGCACCAACAGCTCAGTGCAATCCCTGTTCCTCCTGCCAGGGCTGAAGGCAACATTCAGTGGAGTCTGCAAAGCATGGGTCCAATTCAAAAGTATGGGCTCCAATACCAAGGAGTTGCCTACGTAAACAAACAATAGGCTCCAGTCCAGCAACCCAAGAGATCGAAGCTGCAAAAATGCCTTCCGAGTAGAGAGAAACTCCCCCATGCTGGCTGTCTTGCAGCCTCTCCCCAGATCGCATTGCTAACCCTTAACTTGCTTGAAGGAGACAAAGGAACAGCAAACAAAGCTGCGAAAGCAACTCCCTGCTGGCACAGTTGCAATATGGGCTGCCTACAGCCCAGGCTACAAGAGCGAATGTGGTCTGACGGGTACAGCGGTCTCCAGTGGGCTCCAGTGGGCTTTAGCAAGGTAAAGCACAAAGAAACAGGTCTGTGTGTTCAATCCAGCCTAGAAGCATCATCACCAGTGCGGGGAGGGGATGAGGCTTGTGGATATGAAAGCAGGCTGGGAAACACCCTCTCTCAGAGCTTCCTTACAGAAGGTAAAGGACTACCTGGAAGAGGAATCATTCTGGATGGCCCAGTGAGACATAACTGGGAGCAATAATATGGTTACTTTATCTGTATAGCTCAGAAGAAGAAAAATATCAAACAAGCCCAATGGGAGAGAGCAAAGAAAAAAGAAAAGGACCGTTTATACCACAGGCCAGGGAAAACTCCATGACAGCAAAATCAATTGGAACTTGAAAGGACATCCCCAGGGAAGCAAAGAAAGCCGCGCCTCTGAGGACATTTCAGACTAGGACCTTGCCATCTCTCCCTTCCAAGATTTAGTGGATCTGTCAAACTGCACATTCGGTCTTTTCTTTGTTCAGAGAAGAGCCCAGGATGTGATATGCAAGGGAGATCATTAGCAACGCAAGAGGCGAGTAATGCCATGGCGGAGCCCCAAAGGGAAATAATCCGTTTTGCAATCACACTTAAGTTCAAGGAAGGGGGCGCGTGGGGTCCCATACCTTTGCACAGCCTCCCGTGAAATTGGCCAATTAAGCGAACGCTGAGCTTTATTATAGCACCAAACCCTACCTCCTGCCATATGATGAGATTCCAAAAATAATCACAGAAATATGCGGGGACCCATTCCAAGTCATTCCTGGCTCCCTGCATGCTCTCCGCTAATGTAAATTATCCTCCCAAAATCAACGGACCTGTGATTAACTGCTATTAAGGGCACAACAGCAGCTTCGAATTAAGGGGAAATCTTGTGGCTGGATTTTCCTCCTGGAATTCCTTATTCTGCTTTGCATCCCAAACTCGTTAGGTGACCAGGATTGCTTGTTGCACAGGGGCCTGGGATCATAGGGATTTTCACCCCCATTTCCCGTTGCCTGTTTAACTCCTCAGCTGCCAGGGGCGAGGCAATGGAGTCCTGCCTTGCTTTTGAGCACCGCTGTGGACACCCACGTCTTAACATGCACCAGATCCCCAGCACTCGGTGGAAAACAATTAGGGTGGGCGCAGTAGGAGCCGCGGCACATCATCCCAACCTGCCATCATAACAAAGCCTTGATCCGCTTAGATCACTGAGGCCCAATTCTGCCCCTGCTCGAGTCACGAACACCTACCGGAGCACGCAGGTGTGTCCACTGCCAACACAACGGAAGAGGGAGAGCCTGGTTTGCTAGGCACCGATCCACACCCACCTGCTGGCACGCACACGCCCAGCCCAAAGCTTTAGGTAAATAAAAAGCTGTTTACAGGGAGAGGTCACAGGAAACCAATTCGGGAGGGGCTGGAAGGATCCCAGGGGGGCACTGAGACAGGCACTCGGGGCAGCTCCATCTGGGCGTGGCGGCCAAGCCCTGCTCCTATCTGGGAGCCTGTCCGTGCCTCCCCAGCTCTCTGACAGGGAACAGTTCCCGGGCTACCTGCCCTGAGGGATCACCTGCCCGGCACGCCCAGAGCCGCGCCCCCGGGAGCTCCCTGCGCCCCTCTGGCCTGGCTCTGCCCAAAGCAGGTAGATCCCATCTGGCCCTTCCCGGAAACTTTCCTGCGGCTCTGGCCTCTGCCGCTCCCCGGCCCGGCTCCTCCTGGCTGTAGCGA